AAACAATTTCATATGTAGCAAACAAGTCATTATTAGGACACATATGAAACACACATGCTGAATTAAGAATCCAATAATTTTCAGGTTTAGACTCAATGTCAAAAATAGCTAAGAGTTCCCCATTACTTACAACGTTCTCTAAGAGGTCTGCTTCGCCTGAAATATCTGAATATTTACTTGCAGCCATCCTTTTTTTATTCTGCAATTTGTAGCAATCCTTTTTTAAGTGCTCATTTTTTTTGCAGTAGTTACAAATTTGATTACTTGACTTAGATTTCGATCTACCCTTTCCAGAACTACTATGAGCAACCAGGCCTTCTCCATCCCTGGCCTCAGAAACTATACGCTTCATCTTCTCTTTTGAATATAAAGCATCATACACTTCTTCTATGGTGAGAGTATCACGACTATACAAAATCGTGTCTCTAAAAGAAGAAAACAACGCGGGCAACGAACACAATAGGATCAAGGTCAAATCTTCTTCATCATACTCTACTTTCAAGGTTTCTAAATTAGCAACGATCTCCTTAAATACAGCCAGTGATCTTCCAATGATCCTCATTCTGTCATTCAATGAGAGTATAAACGCTGCTTGAGGTTCAACTTGCTCAACCTCAACCATAAAGAAGCTATTGAATTCTCCTTCAAAACCTATTGAAGAATAGTATTTGATAGATGAAGATGAATGTGAGAAACTGTCTTCTTATCCTTCCGTAATTTCTCATCCGCGGTCAAAGTTGCGAACATTTTGTCAAATCCCAACAACGCATCATCCAAATCCAATTGTGCGAGTACTGCACGCATCTTAACTTACCATAGTGAAAGTCTAGTGCTTCGATCCAAAAGCGGAATGTCATACTTCATGGAAATCATCACGAATAAAAACCTCGGACAAATCAAACCTTACGCTTTGTGGAACCGTTGAAACAGCGCTCTGATACCAATTGTTGTGGAATAACCAAGATACCAGAATTGCTTTGATACCAATTGTTGTGAAACAAATCACCGAATTGAGATATTGAAATTATATGGCAAATAATAATGAAATATTTGATCAAATAAAAGAATAAAGAAGACAAAAATATGGCAGAGGAATTGGAGATTTTATTGACTCAAGAATAATGGAGAAAAGAGAAAATTACAATGGATCCTATAATTCTAGTAATCTATTTTCTCACCTTATAAAATTGTATAGAAGAGTCTAATATTTATAGGGAATAAGTAAGAGATATCCAAATCCACCTAATAGAGTTGTTGATGAAATAGGATATCATAAAATTGAGTCCAAAACAAATTTCAACTCCCAATGGGCTTTCAAAATAGAACTTCAACATGACATAGGACTCCAATAATATTCCAAATTTGAATTTTTCATGATACGCATTTGAATTAGAATTTTTCAATTATTTCAACAAGAAATTCGAGTCATATCCAAATTCTAACGGTTATCATCATGTAAACGTTCATTAGTGAATACACATATTCATAGGTTGAAGCTTTGTCTGACCTCTAAAATAATCATGGTTATCCGGATTTTTATGTATACTGAACCTACACTGAGATAAGATGGCATTTTTAGAAGCAACATATCGAATGAAGGAATGGGGGAATTTTTAGCAAGGTTTAATGCGCGAAAAAGAGTTGAAAATAATCTTTTGGCTGGAACTTCGTTGTTAAATAGCACTTGGAAAGGATCTTCATAATAATTATTTGGACTGCACTACAAGTACAGGTCACTGTTTCACAGGCTTGTACCAGGTCACACACATGGGGGCGGGGGCTACAATTTTTTTTTTTTTAATACATTGGGATGGGATCGGCGCTACAGTGAGGGGGTCTGTAAGACCCCTGCGAAAG